ACAATCCTTTTTGTGTAACTGCACATGAACTTCATTTCTTTAGCATGTATTCTGCTTTGATCCAAGCCAGCTTGGTTTAGCCTGTTAGAACTATGACTCACTTGCATTTTTCCACCAGACCCTCCTACCTGTGCATAGACTGTATCTCCACTCCTTTTAATCATTAAGCCCTTAAGACATTAGGTTCTGGTCAACACCAAATTCATTTAAGAATAAAACTTCAGGTCTATCAACCACAACGAGGATATAATAACTAAACTTCAAACTAGAATTAGATTTTGATAAAATAAAGATAACACCTTGGCCTCAGTGATGTTTCAGCTCCAGACTCATGAAAGTGGAATGGTCCCACAGACCACATCCCCTGGAAACCAGACCAAACAGTGCCATGACTGACACCGGGACCAGAAGCCATGATCAACTGCCTTAGCCCTGACCAATCAGTACAGCCCCCCAGCTGCAACTTCCATAGAAACGACAATTAATAATTTTTCCTTTATATAGCCTAGCCACTAGAGGCCATCAGGGAGCCAGGTTTTTTAAAGCATTAGCTCACCTGTGTCTCTGGGCTTTGTGCTAACTCCTTAAATAAACCTTTACTTTCTTTGCTGCAAATTCCTGCTCCTGTTTTCTTTTGGCTTGGATGCACGCAGGCCAACAGACCCTTTGAGTCTGTGGTAACATTTGCAGCGCACAGGTCACTCACCTATAATAGGTAAATGCCAACCTGGGCATATACTCACTCTGAGGTTTTCTGAAAACTGTGTCTGTTCTGCTCCATGACACTGTTCTCTTAAGACAAATGTGCCCCTAAACATCCTCCTCAGCCTTAAGAAACAATTATACGGAGCTACCATCCATTACTGAATTAAGCCTTTCCCTAAAGTGGTCATAATTTCCACTTGACCCGTCCCATCCAATAAACAGTGCCACAAATCTACTAATATATGAGCAAAGAAGAAGAAAAATGAAAGGGCACAGACTTTGGAGACTAGAAGACTCATGTCGAATCCCAGCTTCACTATTTATTGACTGAAACACTGGGCAGGTCAAACCTCCCCCTCTCTTTGCTCATTTGTAATATACCCCTTAGGCTGTTATGGGATCCAGGGAGGTAATTTATGAGACTCTATTTTGATGTTGTTCTCTGCCTTATCAGGTCTTGGATTAATACTCTACAGACATAAGCTACTCTTCAAGTAATACACACACACACACACACACACACACACACACACACACAAACTAGCCTCCTTTTAAATTTCAAATGGTGCCTTTTGGCCCCAGTAGACTTGGCTATGAAGACCAAATCCACACCCAGCCCTCCTGGTCTCTTAAGCGCAACTGTATCTCCTCTCCACCGTGGTCCTACCGTCGTCTCCTTTCTCTTGAACCTTCAGCTCTCTGCTGCAGGTCGCTCTGGAGATGGAGGGAAGATGCCAGCCCCGCGGACCATTCATTTCCCGTGAACATGGACTCATCTATGCACGTGTAGATTTTAAATATTAAAAGCAACCCAGAGACAAAGAAAAGACCTTCGTAAGAAAGGTAGCAATCAAAACAAACTCCACAAGCCACTGAAATTCAAGAGGGCAGTGTTGGCCTCTTAATCAGAGCTTCCCTAGGTCCCTCTACCTGGGTGTTTCTTGGTTTGGACTCCTCCGGAGCTCAGGTGAGTTCTTCCCCTCGGCGGGAGCAGAGCTCACTGCCCTGCCCACCTGAGGAACTCCTTCCCTTTCCCCCTCTGGGTCTTCCACCCCCTCCCCCCTAGGGGTGGCCTAGCGCTACGCTGGAAGGGCCTCCAGGGAAGAAGCGGCGAAATCAACGCACCAACTGGCAGCCAGGCGAGGAACGGAGAGCCAGGAGAGCCAAGGGCAAGAGGAACACGGCCGCCACCTGCTCCTTGGGCGAAGTCGCGTTCTGGGGTTGCCGGGGACACTCGCCCCAGCGACACGCAGCCACGCAGCTTCCGGGTCCCCCTCCTTCTGCATCCTGGGGCTCTCGGGTTCTCTGCATGCAATGGAGTCTTCTGAGAGGGGCAGTACTAGAGGCTCCGGCCACGGCGGGGCTTCGTGGGCAAGGACCCCTGGAAAAGTTGCTCAGTGTTTCTGGATTTCTTTTTTAACAGTTGGGCTCTTCTCCGGGTAATTTTCGTTATTAGAACTGTAGCCTCTGGTGGCAGTGAAGGATGCGCCCTCCACAAGCTTGCAGATGCCCGCTTATAATTGGCATTGATTAGACAGGATCACTTACCACTCACAGAGCGCCTTTTCTGGGCCAGGCGCCCTGGTGGATGTTTTATCTTCCTCAAGCAGCCAGCAGCATTTTTCAAAATAGAAAGCTGAATTTGAGCAAGGGTTTGGGCAAGGTCACCCAGAAAACTGAGACTCATGTCCAAGTTTCCTTGCTCCAAATCTACCACTCTTTCCATCATACCAACTTGAATTTATTTTACTAATCCTTTCCAGCACCTAATCAGTCTCACATAGAAAGCTTTTCTCCAAGTCTAGCGTAAGCCCCTCAATTCAAATTCAGATCTAATGTCTCCCTAGGTGAAGCAAAAAAATGTAGATGGTGTTTTGATTTTTTGTAACAATTGTTTTTTTACTGATTATAAAATAAATGGGCACGGTAGAAATCTTGGGAAATATAGAAAAGCAGTGTTAATACCCATAGTCCCACAATCCAGGTAAACCACTTTCTTTGGATATCTATTGCTGCCTAAAAAAATCACCCCCAAACTCTGTGACTTTAAAGAACTACCATTATTATCTCCTGATTCTGGAGGTTGGCGAGGCCAAACTAGGCTGTTGGTGCTTGGGGTCACTCATGTGGCTGCAGTCAGAAGGTGGCTGGAGCTTCCTCATTCATATGTTTGGTGACTTGTGTTGGCCATCAGCTAGGACCTCAGCTAAGGCTTTGGCCAAATCACCTACCCGTGGCTTTCCCATGTGCTTCCTCACAGAATCTGGTATTCCAGATAGGAGCATCCCAGGAGGACCAGGCAGAAGCCATGTTATCTTGGATGCAGGGAGAGGAAACCTTGACCATACGTCTCAATGGGAGAATCAAAGTCACATTGTATGAAGAGCCTTGTTGTGGCCATCTGAGAAAATATAGCTTGCCACACCACTACTAATATTTAGGGGCTATTTCCCACCTGTACATTTTTGTATGCACATATATGTTAACACACTTGGAACTAAACTACATATGCAATTTTCTCTCATTACACCTGGGGCATTTCCTCTTATTAAAGTTGAAGAAAAACACATTTTTATCTGTTTAATTATCACATGGTAGAAAAGGTAGCAGCTTTGTAATAGAAATGTTAGCTGGGCAACAGCATAGTTAGTAATGGCCTGACCCAAGATGCTGCAATGCCAGGAAGGCAGAGATTTTTTTTTAAGGTTTTATTGGGGAGTTGGGGGAGGGGAACAAACAAGTTGCTGTCCTTTTATTTTTCAGTCTAGTTGTGGAGGACGTCACTTCACTGGCCCATGTTGGTATTGTGATCATTGCACTCTTCCCAGCTGAGGCAGTCGGTCTCTGACCATTAGACGGCCACTCACAGCAGCTCACGGCAGCTCACGCCGGCTGCTGGCCGCTCACGCTGGCTGCCGGCCACTCATGGTAGCTTATGGCAGCCCACTGTAGCCCCACTGCAGCCTACGCTGTTGCCAGCAACTCATGGCAGTGCAGTTCCAGGTCGAGCTGTTGTTCACCATCTTAGCTGTAGAGGGCGCAGCGTCACCAGCCCATGTGGGATCTGAACCTGCAGCCCTGCTGCTCAGAGCTCGTGCTCTCAAGCCAACTCTTAACCAATGAGCCACTCGTCCAACCCAAAAGGCAGAGATTTTTGTCTGTTTTGTTCGCTGCTATCCACCAAGTACCTAGCGTGGTGGCTGGCACATAAAAGTGCTCAATAACCATTTGTTTAATGAATAAATAGATGGATGGATGAATGGATGGATGGATGCTAAAATGCCCTGAGCTGAGACCCTCCCTCTCCTGTTTGCATCTTCTTGAGAGGAAAGACACCAGGTCCCTAACCTGCACCACTAGGTTTCAGGACATCAAGACCTAGCTGTTGATCCAGGGATTACAGAGCAGGGGGTGAATCCCAGAGTCGAAATTCTCTCACTCTCGGTGAGTGCTGTGAATTGCCACTCATAAACCTCGCATTACTCAGCAGCTTTAAAACTTTCCAGGCCACTTTGCTTTCATCCCCTGGGTAAGTTTTAGATGCCTCCTGCACCCGGCCTGCTTGGGTGGGTTTGGCAGGGTGGGAGCCACCTGAGGGATCCTGGCAGCCCACTAAACTCACTCTGAGTTTCCGGGTGCCTAGCACAGACAGGAGCTTCTCACACTTAGCAGCTGGGCTGCCAGGGTTGAGCAGCAGAGGTGAGGGTAGGGTGGAGGGGTGCTGGGTGTGTCCAGAGCCCGAGGCCTCCTGAAGCTCCCAGAAAACCCTGTGGGTCCAGCTGGGAGGGCAAGTGCCATCGAATAAGGGTTTGTTTGGGGTTCCCTTGCCGCCTGGTGTGGCACTGGTGGCTCCTCCCTTGGTTGCACAAACCAAGCCTGGCCTAGAGGTCACCATGGAACCCATGCAAGAACAGAGGCCCTCACATGAGGAGTGGGGCCAATCCCAGGCCCCTGAGGTCAACTTGACCTTCTCTAGTGCCTTGGGGCCCCCCTTGCATCTCAACAGTCCCTGATTTTGATGTGCCATGAGCCTGGGTCTGAATGAGCCAGGGAACTTGGGACTCCAGGGCCACCACTAGCTCTTACAGGGTGTACGAGCCTAAGCATTACATTGAACCATATGAAATTATTGTTTTTGTAGGTCAAAAATGACCGCATATTGGCAATTTCATGATTCAACCTAATGGTTAAAGGCATATACTCCTAACAGATTCCATGGCAAGACCAGCAGAAGGTGTGCTGGACTTTAGCCCCTTTTAACCCCCTCCAGTCTGTGGGACCCCACTTTGCATTCACTGACCCAGAGCTCTGCTCTGAGGAGGGACAACAGACAAGAGGCATGGCAGCAGAAGCAAGTGGACCCGACCGGCTGCTGCAAGGTCTGTCTTGGCTCAAATGTCTCCTGCAACTGCAGGCCCTTGAAAGCAGCTGGGACAGCGC